TCACGCCTATAATCCCAGCACTTTGGGAGGCTGAGGCAGGTGGATCACGAGGTCAAGAGATCGAGACCATCCTGGTCAACAAGATGAAACCCTGTCTCTATTGAAAATACAAAAATCAGCTGGCTGTGGTGGTGCGTGACTGTGGTCCCAGCTACTCGGGAGGCTGAGGCAGGAGAATTCCTTGATCCCAGAAGGCGGAGGTTGCAGTGAGCCGAGATTGTGCCATTGCACTCCAGTCTGGGTAACAACATCGAAACTTCGTCTCAAAAAAAAATTAGGTGAGTGTGTAATCCCAGCTACCTGGGAGGTTAAGATGGGAAGATCACCTGAGCTGGGGAGGTTGAGGCTGCAGCAAGCTGTGATTGTTTTTGATACAGAGTCTCACTCTTGCTCACTCTTGCAAGCACTCCAGTGTGAGCAAGAGTGAGACTCTGTATCAAAAACAAAAATTAATGTGTATATACTATATATATACACATACACACACACACACACACACACACACACAGGGGCGCGCGCATTTAGCAAAATAGTGCTCACGCAGTCAATAACTTACATTTTAACAATGTTTATAGTTGTTACATGTTTTCATACATTCTCAACTGGGTCCACAGAGCAAGCTCATGGGCTGGAAATTATTCCCCTGCTTTGCAGGTAAGGCGGACTTTCCTAAAACTAGGCTGTAAGTAACAGACCCAGGGCAGAACCGGGACCAAACCGGGCATGGGGAGTCACTGGAGGTAAGACTGGAAAGGTGGGAAGAGAGACAGGAAGGGAGGAGTGGAGGTGGAGGCAGGGGCCTGGTGCTGGGATGGGGCCTGAGGGAGAGGCTTCTAGCTTCGTGATAGGACTTGAGGTCAAAGAGAGAAGGAAAGTATCAAGACCAAGAAAGAGTCAGAAGCACTGGCCTTGGCAAGAAATAAGCCAAACTCGGGTTGGATGGGCTCAGCAGAGTGAGAAAGCCAGGAGGGATTTCAGAGGTGTGCTAAGACCCACCAGTGTAGGGAGTATTTATGGACCACCTTTATTATTAGGCACTAAGTACTTGCATTATTTGGTTGAACCTATACAATAGCTCTACAAGGTAGATACTATTATTAGCCCTATTTTATAGATGAGGAAACTGAAGCCCAGAAAGGTTAAATTATTCATTTAAGGCCAGGTTTCTCAACTTTGGCACTACTGAATTTTGGGCCAGATAATTATTTGTTGTTGGGAAGGCTCTTTGTACTCTGAGACGGTTTGCAACATTCCTAGCCTCTCCCGACTGATGCCAGCAGCACCTCTATCCCCAGTTATGACAATCAAAAGTATCTTCAGGCATTGCCTAACATCCCCGGGGGCGGGGGGGGGGCGGGTAAAATTACACCCCCCTTGAGAATCACTTGTCTAAGGTCATATGGTTAGTAACAGAACTGGATTTTTTTTTTTTTTTTGAGACAGAGTTTTGTTCTTGTCGCCCAGGCTGGAGTGCAATGGCACAATCTCAGCTCACTGAAACTTCTGGCTCCTGGGTTCAAGCGATTTTCCTGCCTCAGCCTCCTGAGTAGCTGGGACTACAGGTGTGCACCACTCCGCCCAGATAATTTTTTTTTTTTTTTAAGATGGGGTTTCACCAGGATGGTCAGGCTGATATTGAACTCCTGACCTCAGGTGATCCACCCACCTCAGCCTCCCGAAGTGCTAGGATTACAGGCATGAGCCACCACGCCCAGCCAGAACTAGAATTTTAATATGAGTCGGCCTGAATAGGGAAGCCAAGATCTTACCATCAGGTGGCTAGAATCCTGGACAGGTAGGAGTCAGAGAGAGACAATTCTTTGGAGGAGGGTCTGAGGAGGTGGAGGTGACTTGGAGATTCTAGGACATGGTTTGGGAATCCCTTTACAGTGAGTTCTTGAGGGAGGGCATTATTCATCCTTTGACCACAGGGTACTAAACGACTGAAGTGCTGAGTCACTTGTGTGCAGGTGATAGTTATAACCTTGACTGTGGAAGCCTGTGCCCTTTAAGTGGCTGCCATGTGCCAGGCACCAGGCTAGGGACTATGTGGAGGTGATCCCATTTAATCTTCACCTCAGTCTTATGAGGTGCATTATTATCTGCATTTTATGTGTCAAGAACCCAAACTCTGGCTGGGCGCAGTGGCTCACACCTGTAATCTCAGCATTTTGGGAGGCCAAGGTGGGTGGATCACTTGAGGTCAGGAGTTCAAGACCAGCCTGGCCAACGTGGTAAAACTCCATCTGTACCAAAAATACAAAAAATTACCTGGGAGTGGTGGCACATGACTGTAATCCCAGCTACTCGGGAGGCTGAGACAGGAGATCACAACACTGCACTCTAGCCTGGGTGATAGAGTGAGACTCTGTCTCAAAAGAAAAAAAAGGCAGGGCGCGGTGGCTCATGCCTGTAATCCCAGCACTTTGGGAGGCCGAGGTGAGTGGATCACGAGGTCAAGAGATCGAGACCATCCTGGTCAACATGGTGAAACCCCGTCTCTACTAAAAATACAAAAAATTAGCTGGGCATGGTGGCGCATGCCTGTAATCCCAGCTACTCAGGAGGCTGAGGCAGGAGAATCGCCTGAACCCAGGAGGCGGAGGTTGCGGTGAGCCGAGATCATGCCATTGCACTCCAGCCTGGGTAACAAGAGCGAAACTCCATCTCAAAAAAAAAAAAAAAAGAAAGAAAGAAAAGAAAAGAAAACAACCTAAACTTCAGGAGGTTGAGTAATTGACCTGAGGTAGCACAGCTGAGTAGACTTCTCACTCAGGCTCAGCAAGGGGGAATGAGGCAGACTCACAGGTGATGCGGGGTGGGGAGTGGGCCCTTAGAAGGGTAAGTGAATGACAGCTATTCGTAAAGTCAGAGAACCCCGGGCTCAAATGAAATCTCACCCAAAAAGCACAATCTACTAACTGACAGAGGCAGAGCTTCTCTACTTAGCAGGCTTCAGGCCCTGCCTGGTGATCCCCGCAGCCCTATTCCAGGAGGCCCTCGGGCTCTGAGGAATAAGCCCCACTCTTTACAAGCAGACTTCGGAGGCCAGAGGAGGAAAGATTTGCCCAAAGTCACGCAGCCAGGCAGGGCCAAAACCGCCAAGACAGCACTCCAGCTCCGTGTCACGCTGCCATGGGAGACAGGGCAGCCACATTGGACAGATGTCAGGGAGCTGGTCTACTTAGGAACCGGCATGTCTTCCTACAATGTGGGGAAGTGGCTGCGGGCTGCGCTAGCCCGGCTGGAGGGAAGGCTGGATAATGAGTAGTGCCTGGGTTCCCAGGTGGCAAGCCTTTCACAATCAAGATTACTACCTAACCTTCTCAAATCTCTTTGAGGTGCACAGGCAAGTGCCATTATCTGCATATTACAGCTGAGGGGACCCAGGCTTGGGCAGGCTGATTGTCTCCAGCTGATTATGCACACAGCTGATAAGTGACAGAAGTAGGCTCAAACCCTAGGTTTCTGCCTTCAGGTTAAATACACTCCCTTCCTCTTTGGCCCCGGTCCCAAGGAACCCAATCTCACAGCAAAATCCTAGTCTGCCCAGGAGTTCCATTCCCTACATTCCAAACCACTTCCCGCACCAAACCGGGCCCAAATCTCCACCCTACCAGTGAGTCTCGGGCTCCCTGAACTGTCAGGATACACACCAGACTATTGCCAGTCAAATAGACAGCGGGCAGAAGGAAATTCAGCAGTGACATCTCCCTCCTCTCTCCTGTCCATCCCCCAGCTTTGGCACCTCACCACCTGGGGGAGGTGTTAGGGGTGGGACAGGGCGGGGCCTCAGAGGCGTGGGTGGAAAGGGCGGGGCTCCAGGGGCGTGGGTGGGGCCATATGGGCCTGTGGCGTCTGAGGCAAATCTGTAGGGGCGGGTAGTCGGACTGGATCGGGCGGGGCTATTCTCCCCACGCCACACCCCGCAGGCGGGCAGAGAGGGCCTGACGGTCGGTGCTGACGCAGATGGCTGCGTGTGGGCGGCTGCGTGTGAGTCTGTGTGTCTCTGTGTGTGTGTGGTTGCTGGGGCCTCCCCTGCCTCCTAAATGGGGGTTTCCTTTCTCTGTTGCCTAGGAAACAAACAGAAGCGCCACAGCTCCAGGACTGGAGCTGCAGGAGCGGGCCCCCTCGCCCCAGGCATCACGCCCCTACACATTTCCAGGAAGTGAGGCAGAAAAGGATTCCCTTTCTCCCTCACCCCCATCCCGGGGTGGGCCAATTGTTTGTGAAGCCTGAAACTAGGGTGGGCAGTTGCCCCGGGTTTGCCGGGGACTGAGGAGTCTCCTAGGATAAGAGACTTAAATGCTAAAATAAGGACAGTTGTTCATTCCACTTAAAGTGCATACAATTTTGTGGGGAGGCCCTTTTTAAGAAATACAAAATGGGCCGGGCGCGGCTGTAATCCCAGCACTTTGGGAGGCCGATGCGGGCGGATAACGAGGTCAGGAGTTCGAGATCAGCCTGACCAACATGGTGAAACCCCGTCTCTACTAAAAATACAAAAATTAGCCTGGCGTGGTGGCACACGCCTGTAATTCCAGCCATTCAGAATCGCTTGAGCCTGGGAGTTGAAGGTTACAGTGAGCCGAGATGGTGCCACTGCACACCAGCCTGGGAAACAGAGCAAGACTTTTTTAAAAAAAAAAAAAAAGGCCGGGTGTGGTGGCTCACCTCTGTAATCCCAGCACTTTGGGAGGCTGATGCGGGCAGATCATGAGGTCAGGAGATCAAGACCATCCTGGCCAACATGATTAAACCCCGTTTCTACTAAAAATACAAAAAATAAAAATAAAAATGAGCCGGGTGTGGTGGCGTGTGCCTGTAGTCCCAGCTACTCAGGAGGCTGAGGCAGATGAATCACTTGAACCAGGGAGGTTGAGGTTGCAGTGAGCTAAGATCATGCCACTGCACTCTAGCCTGGGCAACAGAGCAAGGCTCCATCTCAAAAAAATATGTATATTCAAAATGATCTTTTTGCAAATGTTATGGACATGGGATCATGTGTGGAAAGACTGGCAGGTTCCTCTCGGGGCCTTGAAAGGGCTTATGCAACTGAGAGGCCCTGAAGCTTCACTTTCCTTTGCTCTGTGGTGAATCCACCCTTCTCCACAGCCCGTGCAGCCCCCGCACTCCTCAAGGTCCCCTTTGAAGGCTCTCCTCTGGCCCTCAGACTGGGAGTTCAACTGGGACAGTGAACTGCCAGCCAGGAGGGTGGTGGTGAATCTGCAGGAGATTTCCTGGTGGCTGGGGCAGAGTGCTGGGACACTCTCAGGAGGAGTGGGGAAGGGGGCTGCCAAGTGGGGCAAGCGGATGGCCAGGGTCTCTGCCCTGTGGGATGGAGAAGGGACTGCACGTGGGCCGGCATTCATCATTCGTTGCCTAGAAGAACTTCAGAGCTGGGAGGAGTCTTAAGGCCTCATGCAGCCCAACCCCCTCCCTTCTAGATCCACATTAGTCCAACTCCCCAGATTCCCATGTCTGCTATCCCTAAGCCAGCCCACAGGCCCGCCCCAGAGGAGCACCCCATTGGCCCTGTTTGCCGGCTGAGCTCAAAGCCCACCTCACTTTGGCCTTGACCTCTGAGGGGCTCTCCATCAGTGACAGGTAATGAGAAAACCACTGGGGGAGGAGGGTGGCAGGGGTCTGGCTGGGAAGGACAGGAAAACAGGCTAAAGCTGGCATGCTCTCAGGCCCTGGCCTGCTCAGGCTGCCCAGGGAGGAGCTAAGGGGGCATCTGTTTCCTCTTGGCCATGGTCCCCTCAATCCTACCCCAGAGGAGGTGAAAATGGTGCTGGCTTCCTGATGCAGAGCTTCCTGGCCTGGGAGTACAGTATGGTGTCCAGCAAAACATTCCCATATGCCTTCTCTTCTCCGGCCCTGGAGCTTGGTGGAGCTAAGGTTTAGGGGTGGAGGGCATGTTTCCTGTTGGAGGAAAGAGATGAGGTCCTAGGGCTCACCGAGCACCAACGATGTACTAGGAGCCATAGCTAGGATGGGCTGCCAGTGGGAGGTAGCAGAGGACCTGTATGGCTTTGAGGGGGGAACCTCACTCAGGCCCCTTGGTGAATGGATCAAGGAGAAAAGGATGGACCACAGAGACCTGAGCACAGAGGGTGAGTGGGGATGAAGGATAGTAAAAGGGGGAAAGGGAGGAGGTTGTGGAGGAAGTCAACCATGAGGGAGGGGGTGAGGACCACATTTAGAATCCAGGCCAGGGGGCTCTGGAATAGGGAGCTGAACAGAGGGGAGGCTCAGAAATTGAGGAGGGGCAACTACCCCGGCTGACACCAGTGCTCCAGCCCCAGATCCTGTTGGGGCAAATATTTACCAGATGACAACAGTTGCTAAGCAAGGACGAGGGAGGAAGGAGGAGGGAGGAGGGAGGTGGGGGGAGGGGGGAGGGAGGAGGGAGGCCAGTAGCTGCAGGCCCTTCCAGGCTCCTCCCCACCCTCACAAAAGCCAGCATACACGGGCATGAGCCGCCTGCGCCCCGCTCCAGCTGGCAGGCTGAGCTATACCCTCCATACACACACATCTCGGGATTACCCCAACCCCTGTCCCCCAATAAGCCCAAGCTGATAATATGCCAGAGGGTTGGACTGGGGGAAATGAACCCCTGGGCTGCCAGGCCCTCCCTCTACTCTGGGACAGCTCTTGGGGCTTAGACCTTCCAAAATGCCCTCTTCCCAATCTCTCCTTCAGTGGGGGCTGGGAATGGGGGAGTCAAGGCATCTGGATATGGTGATAGGTGCTGAAATACGGAGCCAGGATGTCCCAGGAACTGAGGCCGGGTTGGAGGAAGGAAAGGGACTCCACTAGAGACTTGGAAGGGGCAGGGGAGCAGGGCTGGTAGAGCCAGAGAAGGGGGATCCTGAGGGCCACTCCCTACTCTCAGGCAGAGGAGGGCGTTGAGGGATAAAGAAGGGGGAGGGTGGGGTTGTATTCAAATGGAGCCAGATGTGGCCCTGTGATGTGGGCCGTTGCTGGCACAGGCACACCAGGGGCAGGATGTGCCACTGCCGATGGAAAGGATGAGTCAGAAATGGGGGGGGGACTTTCCCCAGAGACGGGCAGAGGAGAGCTAGTCCAGGACCCCTTCCTCCTCCCTGCCCCAATCAGGAGCTAGGAGTATGGACTGCCCTCCCATCTCCTCCTCAAGGGGTCCACCACCTGCCCACCATCCTCAAGGTTCCCACTCATTTTCCTGGCTGGGTCTCAGCTACTCTTTGCAAAATGGGGATCCTGGCACCCTCCCCGTGGCTATTAGAGAGTCCCAGACAGAGGAAGTGTGAGGGCCTGGCACACAAGAGAGGCGTACTGGGGGTCCTTTTCCTTGGTGACCTCATTAGGGTGAGGACCCTCTTCTGCAAGCCTTCTTCCTGGGGGTCGGTTGCTGGCTTCTCACCCTCAGCCACAGGCCTTCTGGAAATTGGGATGCAGAGATGGGCGGGAAGGGACAGCAGGGAGGGCACAAAGAGGAAGCTGCAGGGGTGGGAAGGAGGTTCCTAGAGTCCAGGGCTTCCTGGTGCCCATGGAGGTTCTCCAGGGTTGGAGGGTTGGTGGGTTGGCCAGAGCAGCTGCAGGGACCAAGTACCCAACTCTGCTGCAACCCCCATGGGTCCATCTTCAGGCAACGACAGATGAATGGCTCGGCTATGAAATGAAACCAGGGAAGAGAAGGAAGCTGCACCACAGGAAGGCTTCTCAGTGCCTCTGCCACAGTGCAAGTGCCCAGGGAGAAGCGGAGAAGCAGGAGGAGATCCCAGGAAAGCAGCAGACCCGAAGGGCAGGCCAGGGCACAGCAGTTACAGGAAGACCCATAGAAACAGAACGTGGGACCCTTGGAGAGCCGGGCCCAAGCTGGCAACCAAAAGACTGTTGCTTTCCAAACTCCCTCGGAAAGTTTGAAAAATATGCGTGGAAATGTGACTCACTGCCCCCTCTCCATAGCCCTCACTTCCTGGTTTCTGTGATTTTTCTCCCAAGAGTTAATTCGAGTCACATTCCCACAGAAACCAAAGCCTAATGAGAGCGCAAAGAGCGGGCTGCAGGAGGCCTGGGGTGCCCGGGAGGGGCTGGGAATGGAGATGAGCTCTGGGCGGGCCCCAGGCAGACGGGCGGAGGCGATCTGTCCACTGCGGACACCTCGGGTGGGGGAAAATTCAACTCTCTCAAGGTCGGAGATGGAAGGGTTCATTCACACCACCTAAACCAAACCATCTTGAAGACCCAGTTTTAGGACAAGAATGAGCCCTTGGTTGCTCACAGGCTCCTAACCAGAGGTGACAGAACCAGGACTGACACCTAGGTGCCCTGCCTGGGTGTCTGCGGTATGTCCACTGCACCTTGCTGCCCTCTGTACCCCAGGCCCAGAAAGCATGCTTCTGGCCTCTTTCTCAGAATCCATTCCTGGGGCCACAACTGGGGCTAGAAGTCCAGGAAGTGGGGAGTGGGGAACACCCCTGAATTCACTCACCTCCACTCCAGTCCCACCCCCATGTATCACGGAGCAGGCGCACAGGCACGTCCCTGGCTTTGGGCTGGGGCGGACCAAGGCCAGCCTGCCCCAACAGGGTGTTTCTGAGCCAAGAATTCCCAGCCTGTCCCAGAGAGGCCAGGGAAGGCAAGGGCCTGACAATGGGCCAAGGGTGAGTGGCCTTCCATTCTTGAGAATTCTTAGAAGAGGACACCAAGTATTCCCAGGCCAGGAGTGATTCCTAAGCGTCCATAACGTGTCATCGCTCCTTGGATATCTCAGATGGAGTTCGTGTGTCCCAACACCCATCCCACTCTGTTGCTCCTTCCTCAGCCTCTCCTCCCTCAACTCCCTTGGCCAATGAGCCCCCAAGTCCTTGTGGTTCCTACTCCCAGAATTGTTCTCGGTTCTGTGTACTACCTTCAGCCGTCTGGTCTGCTTACCATCAACCCCCACCTGGGTAACTGCCTCCAGTCTCTGCCTCCACCCTAGCCTCTGCTCCCATCCTGTCTCCTCCATAAACCACAGTCTGCCCTCCCCTTCCCCTCCCCCCTCCCTCCCCCCCTCCTTCCTTCCTTCCTTACTTCCTTCCTTCCTTCCTTCCTGAGACAGGATCTTGTTCTGTCATCCAGCAGGCTGGAGTGCATTGGTACAATCATAGCTCACTGCACCCTCAAACTCCTGGGCTCAAGTGATCCTCCTGCCTCAGCCTCCCGAGTAGCTAGGACCAGGTTCATGCCACCGCATCTAACTAATTTTTTTTTTTTTTTGGTAGAGATGGGGGTCTCATTTTGTTGCCCAGACCTCCCACCTTGACCTAAAGTGCTGGGATTACAGGCGAGAGCCACCACGCCCAGCCCACAGTGATCTTTTCAAAATAAAAGCCTCATTGTGTTTCCATAAAATGTTGAACTAACAGTGGCTCCCCGCTGTATTTAGGATAAAGTCCAAATTCCTTGACCTGACTTGTAAAGCCCTCCGTGACCTGGGCTCTGCTTGCATCTCCAGCCTTATCTAAATTCCAGCAATCTCAACCTCTCTCATCACTTCCTGACCAACCCTCCCAGACACCACACATAGTATACCTTCTTATCAACTCCTACTCATCCTCCAGGCTCAGCTGGAAGTGCCACTAAGTCTGGATTAAGTGTCCCCACTCACCAATACCCTTGTCACACCGTCTGTGACACTGTGTATGTGTGTGTTCCCCTGTTAGAGGACTCCCCGAGGGTAGAGGCTGGGTGGACCTGGTGCTCTCCGGTACTCCCAGCACCTGGCACAGTGCCTGGTGCACAGAAGGTTCTCAATACATGTGTGAGTAGAGCATTCTCATCGTAGCCTCTTACCAACCAGCACCCTCAACACGCTCTACTTCCTCTACTCTTTCCACACACCCTACTCTGCAGCGCCTCATTCTAGGCTCCCCTTCTTCCGGAGGGCCCCACCTTCCCTGCCTCCCTTCAGCTGAGCTCCCTCTGTGCATTGCAGCCAGGCCGCTATCCAACCTGGCCTCAGGCACAGTCACGATAACCATAGTAAGGAGGGCTGCTGTTTACAGAGCACTCACCATGTGTCAGGACCTGTTCTAGGCTCCTTCCATTCTTTGGCTCATTTCATAACCAGCAGGAGCTAACAAAGGGGGTTGGCCCTATGACCTAACTTGTCTGATGGTTCTGGGCAGGTCCCTCCAGGAGACTGTGTAACTCCATCGTCACCATGTGTAAAGGAGACGGGGTATGCGCTAGGCCTCAATAAAAGTTTATCAAGGGAAGGAACACTATAATTGCCTACCTTTATAGCAGGTCCTATCACTAGTAAAATATTATCTCTGGGCGATAATGTTTTATAAGCCCTGGAGGTGAGCATGGGAAGGTCGTTATTCTCATTTTATAGAGGAGAAATCCCTTCAAGGGAGTGAGGAGGGACCCGCTTCCAGCCACACCAGTGGTAATGAGCTCCCATCCAAAGTGCAGCACCTCCAGGGCTATGCAGAGGGGTCCTGGGTGGTGTGTGACAGGGAGGTGCTCTGCCAGACTGGATGGAGCCCTTCAGGACCATTCATCCAGTGATCTCAACCCTCACTGGGCATCAACACTGCTTGGAGGAAGGGGGCTTTCGAAACTGCCAATTGCCCAAAGTCTTGGATATTTTGATTCAGTAATTAATCTGGGGTGACACATGGGCATGGGCATTTTTCTTTCTTTCTTTTTTTTTTTTTTTTTTTTGAGACTCTCTTTGCTGCCCAGGCTGGAGTGCAGTGGCATGATCTCAGCACACTGAAACCTGCGTTTCACAGGTTCAAGCCATTCCATGCCTCAGCCTCCAGAGTGGCTGGGATTAGAGGGGTGTGCCACCACACCCAGCTAATTTCTCTGTTTTTTGTAGAGATGGGGTTTCACCATATTGGCCAGGCTGGTCTCAAACTCCTAGCTTCAAGTGATCTGCCCACCTCAGCCTCCCAAAGTGCTGGGATTACAGGTGTAAGCCACCATGCCTAGCCACATTTTTCAGTTAAAAAAAGAGGAAAAAAAGAAAACACTTTAAGTCCAGGTGCAGTGGCTCATGCCTGTAATTCCAGCACTTTGGAAGGGTGAGGCAGGTGGATCACGAGGTCACAAGTTCGAGACCAGCCTGACCAACATGATGAAGCCCTGTCTTTACGAAAAATACAAAAATTAGCCAGGTGTGGTGGTGCACACCTGAAATCCCAGCTACTCAGGAGGCTGAGGCAGGAGAATCACTTGAGCCCAGGAGGCAGAGGTTGCAGTGAGCCAAGATTGCACCATTGCATTCCAGCCTGGGGGTCTGTCTCAAAAAAAGAAAAAAATTTTTTCAAAAAAACCACAATACTTTAATCAGTCATTTCACAGATGAAGAAACTGTTTGGAGTGGGAATTTTAATTCCCAGGTGATACTTATCAAGTGTTTAGAGTGCGCTGTTCTAAATAGTGCAGGTTCACCTGATCCTCACCATAACCCTGCAAAGAAGAGATTATTATTTTAAAATTATTTTCTAATTTATTTTTTAAGACAGAGTCTCCCTCTGTTGTCCAGGCTGGAGTGCAGGGGTGTGATCTCGGCTCACTGCAACCTCTGCCTCCCGGGCTCAAACAATTCTTCTGCCTCAGCCTCCTGAGTAGCTGAGCTTACAGGCATGCGTCATCATGCCTGACCAATTTTTTTGGGGTTTTTAGTAGAGTCAGGTTTCCACCATGTTGGCCAGGCTGGTCTTGAACTCCCAAGCTCAGGTGATCCGCCTGCCTTGGCCTCCCAAAGTGCTGGGATTACAGGCATGAGCCACTGTGCCTGCCCTGAATTATTTCTTAGAGATGGGATCTTACTCTGTTGTCCCTCACTGCAGCCTTCAACTCCTGGGCTCAAGCAGTCCTCCCAGCTCAGCCTCGTGAGTAGCTAGGATGGAACTTTTTTTTTTCTTGAGATAGAGTTTCACTCTTATTGCCCAGGCTAGAATGCAATGGTGCTATCTCGGCTCACTGCAACCTCCTCCTCCTGGATTCAAGTGATTCTCCTGCCTCAGCCTCCCAAGTAGCTGGGATTGTGGGCATGCACCACCACGCCTGGCTACTTTTGTATTTTTAGTAGAAATGGGGTTTCTCCATGTTGGTCAGGCTGGTCTCGAACTCCCCACCTCAGGTGATCTGCCCACCTCGGCCTCCCAAAGTGCTGGGATAACAGACGTGAACCACCGTGCCCAGCTGGACCTTTTATTATCAGTTCCATTTTACAGGTGAGAAAATAAAGCACAAAGGGTGCAATGTGGCACAATTAATAAATGGTGGAGCTGGGATTCAAACCCTGGAGACCTGGCTTCAAAGGCCACATTCTCAACCTTGACTCCATAGCTGTCAACCCCAAAGTTGCAGAGGAGCCAGTGGTGGATGGAGCCAGGCCCAGAATGCAAGTCTCTTCTGGGCAGAAAAGTCAGAGAGCCAGTGAAGGTGGGTAAACTGAGGTCAGAAAAGCCACAATCCAAGCCTAGAACCCTAGTAGCTTCTGGGAAACCTAGAGCTAGAGGCCTCCAGGGCCCTCTCCTTCAAAGGGGAGGAAGGGGCTGACAGCAGGGCAGCTTTGCCTGCCTGCCTGCCTCCCTCCCTGCCAAAGGGGACCCCTGACCAGCCCCAGCTGAGCTGTCACCTCCCTGTTCTAATTGATGCAGCCTCCTAATTGTCCATCACAAGGAGGCAATTAAGCCCAATTAGAGAGTCAGTGCTAATTAGTGCTCAGCTTCCCACAGCCTCTGGGCACCCCAGGGGTCTACAGGAACCTGCTGCCCACTTCCTCCCACTCCCAAGGAGGAGAACTGTTGCTTACATCAAGCATACCGGAAATTTATATTCCTCCCTCCCTCTCCCAGGGATCAAGGGGTGAGCATCTTGGCCTACCCCTTACCTTTGCAGTGCAGGGTAACTATCTCTCAGTCCCACTAGACGTGACTTGCCTTCCCTGACAACTGACAGCATTCATGTCATCCCACAGTTCACAAGCACTTTCCCAACACTCCCTCCATCCATCTCCCTACAAGCCTGCAGGTAGGGTATCCTGAGTTACCACTGGGGCTCAGAAAAGGTAAGTGATTTGCTTGGGATCACACAGCCCATTTTGACCACAGATCTTGTGCCCTTAACAGACATATGTGAGAAGTCCTTCCCATGATCTCACCTCAGTTATTCCTGATGTAACATAGTAGACAGGCGGGCCGTGAGTTGTGTACCTTCTTCTCACATGGCGTTTTATGCTACGTTATCCCATTGCATCTGTCTCACTCCATCTGTTCATCTACCTGACTCCCATCCCAAGAACACAGTGCCAAATTCAACATGTCCTTTCTGGGATTACAGAACTTGAAGTCTGTGGACAGGGAATCTAGTTCACTTGTCCATTAACTTGCTCTGTGACCTCAGAAAAATCACTCCCCTTCTATGAGCCTCAGTTTTCACACTTTCAAAACAAGAAGACCAGATGGGAAGAGTTCTAAGGCCTTTCCAGCCTCCATCCCTTCTACTACAAAGGAATAGATGATGAGGGGCTAAACTTTCCCCTTGCATGCTGTGAAGGCCCAGGGGTGAGATGGGCATACCCCTCTTGTACTGAAATTGTGTGGGCCCCAAAGCTGAACAAGAATGAAACTATCCTGACACAGACAAAGAGAGGCTGGGAACTCCCAAGCTATAGCAGAAGCTGGAGGTTAGGGGTGATGGTGCAGACATGATGATCACACACACACACGCACACATGCACACACATACATGCATACACATGCACACACACTCCTGCCCCCAGTACCGGGGCAGAGAGAAAATGGTGGGGACCTGCCATCCAGTTGGATGGACTGGAACTGGGACCTGCTCTCTTGGGCTTGGAGGAGAGTCAGAGGTAGAATGGCTGCCCAGGTTCTGGCCCACCTCCAGCCATGCACTTTGCCAGCCTCCCTCCGTATCAGTGTTGGGCTCACACAGGGCAGGGCAGGCAGGGAGGCTGGGGGACTTGGGGTCCATCTCCTCTGGAGCCTGAGCCATCCTCCAAGTCCCATGCTCCTGCTCTTCCTTTTCTGCTTTCTGGGCCTTCCAAGCATGCTAAAGAGTCAGGCTAGCCTGGGTTCTAATCCTGGCTCTGCAACTCATGTCCTGCCCATGCCACTGTGGGCCAGGCTGAGTTTCCTCTCTGATAAAAAGGGATCACATGAATTCCATAGGGCTGTTGTGAGCAATAAGTGAGACGTGCATGTCCAGTGTGGAGCAGGGCACCTGCCCCTTGTTAGGGCTCAGTTCTGCCATCCCTCAGTTTCCCTGCCAGTACCTGGCAGAGCAGAGACCCTGGGCCTAGGCTGCAGGAATGCGTACTAAGCAGAGAGAAGGAGCCACAGGGCATCCGGTCCCCAGCACCAGGTCCCTCTGCAGCCTTCCCTTTCCTGTGGTGAATCACTGCTCGCAGGCCCTGGGGACCCAGGAGTCCCCAGCTTGCCACAAACACTACCGTTGTCATGGAAACCGGGCCTCCCCTTCCTCTCTCGATGATTAATTTCACCGCAGCTTCTCCCACAGTGTCTGGTTCCTAGATCTCAGCTTTTGACTCACTGACTGACTTCACCGCCGCTCATTTCAAGTCCCCAACAGAGCAGCAGCCTCATCAGGACCCCCAACCCCTCAGGCCAGCGCCTTTCCCAGGTGGCCACCACTCACTTCCCTGCCATGTTAGGCTGGACACACCCTAGGAAAACATCTTTCCGGGAGGGGTGAGAGAGAGTCTGGCCCCCACTCCAGGGCCTGGAACTTCACCCAGGCCTCAGGACCCATCTCTTCTGCCCCAGCTGAGAACCCTCAGCGCTGGGGCATGAGATGAGCCAGGGCAAGGGAGGTGGCCACGGGGAGAGACTGACGGGTGCCAGCGCCACCTGCTGGCCCAGCGGGGACCAGCCCCACCTTCTCCTTCCCCGAGGGTTTCTCCAGGCTAGTCCTGAGTGACAGGAAGCCCTGGCTGTGTCTTTCCAGAGGAGACAGTTGTCCACATCATTCATTCATTCACAAATATTTACTCAGTACCACCTGGGCGCTAAAGACAGCTTTTGTCTTCACAGAAAAAGTAATGAATGGGTGATGAGTGCCTCCGAACGGAATGCCGGGGAGCAGAGAACCCGGCACCTAACCCAGTCCGCAGAAAGGATGATTAAGCTGAGTCCTGGATAATAATCACCAACATGTATTAAGCGTTCTCAGTGTACTAGACAGTATGTCAGTACTTTACATGCCTCTTCCCACTAACTGC